GTGTTTACAGTCGGATGCCCTGTGACACAAGCAAGCAATAGTATTCCTCCAAAGACTCTGCGTCGACCGTTATGCACGAAATCGGAGGGTAGAAGACACTGCTCAACGTGGCGGTTGTAACCGAAAATCCTGCTGCACAACGAACTGTATCGTACTCGTGACCATTTTCTTTCACTGCACTGCCCATGGTGCTTTACTTGCGTTCTGAAACTTTGCTTTACATGGCAGTTAGTGCAACGTGTATCACCGTGGTCACAAACCGTTTGAAATCAGTTGCTGCTTACGTACTGGACTGCTTGCTAGATAGCGGGGACGTTGACGTATATACAGTTAGCCACAGCCTATGTTTCGTACGGCATTCCGAGGTACGGGTATTGCGTTCGGCTCTAGCGCGGAACCATTTGCGGTATCCGTTACCTGGCTCCTGGTTCCCCAGGCTGTTTTCACTACTGACTTGCTTATATTATGACGGATTTAAAGCTACGTGCCCCCGGATCACGTTTCGTCTCACGTAACCGAAAGGTGACTAAACCGCTGGAAAGCTTAGCATCTGCCATGTTATGTCATTCGGACAGCAGAAGTAAACTTATGCTGCGTCATCAGTGATGTGAGGACGCCACTTGACCAACATCAAGTGGTTTGCAGCCGAACAAACTAGCCCTACTTACGGGCCATAACCTGCGGTACTGATGCTAAGTATGTTGATGGAATCATTCCTCTCCTGTGCAGCCATACATATCTAGGTAGGCTAAGAATACTACCTAAGCGAGTACGCGCAATTCTCCACATATCTTCTGCTTGACACCACTGCCCTCGGCTTTGTTAATAAGCAGGTTCTAAGCGATAGCTACGCAATCCGGAACTGTTACCAATACTATACCGCGAAACCTTTCCCTGAATATCCTTATCGTATCCTGCGCGCCGCATCAATCATAAGGGATTTAGTGAGGCGATGTCCATTCACCTGCGTTCCTTTCCTCGTGCAAACGATTATCCTATACCCATCGTCATCAAGCTTGCTACATCACTGCTCTGCAGAACGGCACACACCCGATTTCTGATAGGTCTGTGACGCATACGTATACTGCTACGAAATCTAAGACGAGAAATGAGCCAGCATTTCCAATGAACCACATCGCAGCTTATGTGTTATCAGTAAAGCATACCGCAATACGTATTTCACGACACATATACGGAAACGGGTACGCTGAACGACGTTGCGCACTCCTTTCTAAACGGGCGCCAGTGTGTTCCACTATCGCGAACTTGCATATTGCAAGTGGGGCACGTAGTATTCCTAGCAACCACTTGGCGATGAAAAAGGAAAACACCATTTCTATGTATAAAACTGTATGTTAATTAGATGAAAATTAGTTACAAATCGGACATGTGAATAGCACGTCCGTAATTCCCGGTCACGTGCTGAACCATGTTCTCGCAGTGGCGCGGTCACACGTGATCGCGCCTCTGACACAACCTGCTCCAGGAATCTGATGCGTCACTCGCTTTGGTTGAGAACACCATCAGGGTCTCCTAGGAGCATTTCCCCATACCTGCTCCTCATCGCTTGCTTGACGTAGCTTTTGATTATACTCCAGATCCCCTCGATAGGGTTCAGCGCCGGAGAGTATGGGGATAATCGTAACATCCTCCCTGATCTTTACTGTTCTTCCTGGAACAAGTTTTCCAAATCTGTGTGGCACGGCGCGTTGTCACAAATCAGCAGGCACCGTTCGATAACATCTGCACCTTGTTCATCTAGCAACTGTCGCAGCCACTGCGCACATCTTTGTTTATTGTAGCTTCCATGTAAAAAGGAGAACGCTATCAATGCGTCCTTTGTCATTACTCCGACAAGGTGCACATTTTGCCCGCGACTGTTTGCCACAGTACACTGTGCTCGACTCCCACGTGGTGAACGGCCCCGAGTTCGTGCGCAAAAGAGATGAAAGTTCGTCTCGTCGATCCATATCGGTTCCCTTCCTTCCGCTTGAAAATTTAATATCTGAAGGACGAACAATTTCCGTCGCTGTTTGTTCACCTGCGTGTTCAGGGATTCAGGAATTGTATGTAACTTCTTCATCGTTATCAATCGCCCGTCAAGGTATCTGGCAACAGTACTGGTACAGACATCAACGTCGAACTCAGCTTTCAAGCGCAAGCGGAGTTTTGCAAGGGTTATGGTGGATTCCGCCGACACCCACTCAACCAGAGAGTGAACGTGGCTCTCTGTCATCGCTCTGCAACGAGCCCCACCGTGTTGACCTCGTGGTTCGGTCGACTCCAGCATTCTTATCCAATTGCGGCAAGTGCTCCATTTCACGTGAAGTAAATTGGCGAGGTGCTTCCAGTTGTTTCCTTCTTCATACACAGTCAGTATCCTGTTCCTCACTTCGAACGAGTGGCGGACATACGGACCTCTTCGTGTCATTTGGTGTTGGCACTATGAGCTTTCCAGGACGACCTGGGAAAATATGTCATCACGGCTATTTAAACCAGACATCAAGTCCTCCATGCATTTGACCCCATTCGGTGTGGTGAATTCGCTTGTCTTGTCGCAACATAATTGGTCCCATGATTGTGGCCTTGCCCGTGTCTTGTCACTTGTGCGCCACATGTGCGTCCACATGTGCGCCGCTTACGAATTCCGCTGTGGACATTCGTACCGTTAGCGCGTGGGGCCTCAGTGCATGTCACCCGAACAAGCGTAGTTGGGACAGTGTAGCGCACAGCTCAGCCGCGTGCATTGGCTTTATCGGTATTCCTGATGGCAGATTATCCTGGACAATTCTAGGCTATTGTTATAGTATTCCGTTTTCAGTAAGGTTTCGTGTATTTGAATTATTATAGCAATGTCGTTGCTTTGCAGTTCAGGCATCTTAACGTATCTAGCTTGGAACCAACCTCGGATGATTATTTCATTTGGCACTAAATGGTTCTGTGTTTACTTTCGTTCTACGTTTACACACATGTGATGATATACTTCGCAAATTCGCCTGCGAATATGGTGGAGTCGGCTGTGGTGAAGTATCGGTCCCTGCACATACTCCTAAACAGCTTGCCAAATGCGCTTCAGTTACAAAGTGTTGTCTGTGTACTGGCTTACTTATTGCTCAGAATGTTTTAGATGATCTGATGTTCATTCCATAGAGCAGTGTAATGTTGTCTCTCCCTTAGTTTATACACAAACATATGGAATACCCATGGCGAAGACCTAATCGAGGATGTTATCGAACCTAGTTGTTCGCTGAACGTTTTCATTTCAACAACTAACATAGAGATACTAAAATATTTTCCCAAGCCCTCCAGTTGTTGCTAGCCTATAAGACACACAATTTACATTTGGCAGATTAAACATTCCCTATGGAAAGTTGCACTTATGGGGGTGTTGGAATTTCCACTAACGACGGACGTTAGATACAGAGAATCATGGATAGTTATTTCAGGAGGTCTATAAATCTGGCCCAGTAGCAGTTCATAGGCCGGAATAGTCAAACTTAATGAATCGACCTAGTCATTTAAAGCTAATCGGTCAGCTGAGATTGCTGTTATGCTATGGCTTATGAATATGGCAACACAAACGTGTCGTTTGTGAAAATGATACTTCAGAAACAATCGATGTTCTATAATATTTGTTTGTAAGCCACGTACAGCAGATTTGCCAGGATTGTGCAAGGAGAGTAAAGGGACAAAGACATTGAAAAGACACTCCGTTTAGGTGCTAGTGAAGATTTATTTACAATTGCGGCATGAAGAAAATAATTGGAGTCGATTGCGCAGATTCGGTTACATCGCACCTACAACCCTTTTGGACATAGGTGATGTGCTTCAATGCAAAACGTAATGGACAATATTGTGTGTGACGGTGCATAGCCTCTAGTGAAGGAAATGAATAAGTTTTATGGTATTTTACGTGGAGGCCATGTTGATGCGGACAGATGTTTGCCTTAAAACGAAACGCCTGTTGTCGATTATGACTGTTCCATAGGAGCACGCGGCATTAGAAGGTAGGTTGGAAACTTGGGCTACCATTGGAATTCACATTGTAATCAACGGCTGTGTTATCATTTTACAACGAATTTTGTGAATCTCCTGGTCGTACAACGAATCAGTTGTTAAGCTGCCATCGATTCTGTCCAAAACTGAGAATATCTTCACCTGAAAGTGTTGCAAAGCTTGACTAGCTAACCGAAGGGCAAGCAACGCTGCTGTTTATTCTTATTGTGTTATCGTATTTGAACTAATCAACAAAACGCGCCATTTCCCCACATTGAAGTTAGACCAAATTGAACTTTTTTGGTCAACGATTTCAAAGGAAAGGTACCCATCTTCCGAAGCATCCGAGTAATAATGCAGCTGTATATCATTGTCGATAAACGGCGTTAGTTTGATAAACCAGGAAAATCCCTACGTTCAAAATTCCGAGAATCCCTCGAAAAACGATGCAATTCTACCCTTTCCGATTCGGCTTAGTATCCCCACTTAGTCAGCTTCGTACTACATTGATTGCAACAATTTCCTGGCACGCCGCGATACAAGGCTACCAAACTTTTTGTGTCACGCCTCGATGCGACGAAAGACAAAATCGACCTTTGACTGCAATCTTTGAATATTGTTAGACCAATGATTATACAATCGTCCGAAAATTACACTTCAATGCCAGAGTGGGTTTTGAGTTCTCGGATTTTAAAGTCAATTTAAGGGATTCGTCTGTTGATGGAGTTGTCATAGTTTCGCACAGATTGTGTGAGCCGTTACAATTCCATTTCCTTAGGCGAAGTACTCCCTTGGATGCAATTAATTCAATAATACGCTATCGGAGGGCGAGTTGCCTCTCGGCTACGTCAGCTGAACAGGCAATCGTCAAAGCAACAACATTGCTGCACTGGGGATAGTGTCGACTCGTGTAACCTAGACTTGCAGTATTCGCTACTTTTTCTGAGTGTCGTTGATGCGCAACTTGGTGACGATGTTGCATCGAATGCGTGGACTGTCAGGCGGAAAAATTTTGGCTCACCATAACCTGGTAGAACATGCCTTTAGTGTTTGTAACCACTGCCACATTGCCCACTCTAAACCCAGCACAACTCCGAGTATTCAGTACACCAGGTCCGAAACTCACATCCAGTTTTGCTTTACAGAAATACCCTGGCAGATGCTAACACATACTAAAATGATGCAGAGTTTTCTTAGCGTGTTTGGTTGCGTCACTGAATGATGGGGTATATTCTAAGCGCCCCTCTTATTACCAAACATTTTCATGTCAAAAATGTCTGCATTGCCGCTTAAAGTGTACTCCTCGACAGCATTTGCAGTGTACATTTGAAGTAATTCGGATTTGTCAATGCGTATTCTCCACAGCGATATCATTCTTCGGTAAGCCATCGTGTAGTTGTTGGGTAGAATTGTGTATCCAGTTTCCATCGTAAACCGTGTTGATAATGCGAACCACATTAAACTGCGGAGCATTCCATCTTCGGGAAAGCAAATTTATCGTCTATAGACATTCAAAGTGTTGGGCTACATGGCTTCGCAAATTCCATATCGTTCATTTACTAGGGAAATTCCGAGCTTTATTACTGTACATTAATCACATTGGTACAAAGTTTTCAGGCGTCTGATCCCCAATATGGTCTGAGCACGAACCAATCCAGCGGCGTTCGTACAGCGAAATTACCAGAAGACTTTCCACCTCGAAGCTTGCTTGTCCAACGGGCCTCCGGGACATCCGACAGCTCGATCACAACTTTCGATGACCTGCAGGTCCTTTAAATGCCCTTAATAATATAAGCATTTGGCATCATTTTGAACAACCGCTCATGATCTACATACAGAGATTTAAAATCGTCCAAGGGTTTCGGCTCTAATTTTACCAATTACGAGCACAAATATGAGTCACCGATGACCGTTGCTCTCTGCGAAACTATCGGTCATGTTGGTAAATTAAGTTCCTGCATTAGCTGATTATGAATAAGTATTGAATCGGATCCAGGATCAAGTAAAGCATCCGTCCCTAATGTCTAATTCATTTTACTCAAAACAATTGGAATAAATCCTAGAGCTAGTCCAACCGAGACGCGGTAGTTTCGTTGACCACTGCAATCACCTGTTTCATCTTGTTTTCCTGTAACATATGGTGGTGTTGCAACTGACACTCATTTCGACATCAAGTAAATCGGCAGCGGCATTTGGCAGACTTATGGTAAGGTTTGGGGAACACTTCGTACTAATCCATTCCACAAAGGCCAGCAAGCTTTCGGCATTGTCCATAGTTTGGAATCGAAAACACTGGTCTGGCCAATGATGCGCTGTACATGCTACATACGAAGATACAAATACCCTGGTCTGTTTTTTTGAGTAACACTATTTCAGCGTCTTAATACCGCACAAAACCATTCAGTTCTGCAAGAACTTGATCCACATTGATGGGCTGCATTACTGCATAAGTTGCGGCGTCAAATATCAAATTGTACAAAACTTTAAAGAGCAGGTATTCATAATTTCGCAATATGTTGGAAGGCTGTTTGGAGCAATAAAGCGGCAGAGCATATAGCTTTCCTCTGATCACCGATGATACTGGTACAGTGGAATTCAGCACGGGCCAGTAATTCGTTTTTTGCAGCATAGTCCAAAAATTTTTCCATCGTCTCGCCAATCCGTACAGCGCTTCATATTCGTTTGCCTTGATGTATGGTCAACTGAATAATCTGGCGATGTAAACCCTGGATATAATGTGAAGACGGCCGAATCTCGACCTAAGTGCCTGCATGGTATCACGAAAACCTGCATCTGCTTCCAATGTGACACAGCTCACGATCGCCATGGTTATCGATAGCACTCATGACATTTGATTGACAACTGCGCATAAACAACCAACACTGCATCAGGCCACCGTTAAAGTGGACAGACACACCTTTCAGCAAACCAGCAAGAGATTCAATTACAGTGGAGTCTCTTCTTGAATAGCTAGCCTCCGAGACAACAACTATGATAAATTCAACAGTTGGCAAGTACGCATCGTCAAACATTGCACGAGGACATCCGCCGCTCATAACTAGCAGGTGTCGAAAATCCTGATCTGCACGGCAAAACAATTTTCGTCTGACCTCCTAGCTTAACATATCCTGCAGCGAACAACCGACCTTCAAGTTCGTACTTCTACGCAGCGCGGCTACATTTGTTCAGTAGTGAATATGAATGCACGATCGTCTCTATCCTTTGACCGCGGTGGCAAAATAGGCATGCTATATTCATCCAGCAGAGAGCGAGTTAGAAGCAGTCCACATGTGTTCCTGCAGAAATCGCTGTTTTACGGCGAGCCGACGACACCTATAAAAACGCACGGTCTGGTCAGTGAACATAAAGGGCGCTAGGCAGAAGAAATATTATTGAATCAACTGTGGTTCTTCATAAATGAATATGACGTGAAAC